ATATAATATATTATTATATTATATAATAATTTAATATATTATAATTATATGTATATGAATATATATAATACGTATATTTTTTTATAATATAATATATATATATATTTAAAAAAGAAATGAGACGACGTGTGTGCTAACGAAAGGATTTTAATTTGACGAAAGGGGAGACTCGTTTGAAATCATCTTACGTTGATAGTTCGTGCCAAATCACTAGCCAATCCTGACAATGACAGTCCTGTTTTGGCTGAATATTTTTTTTTGTTTAAACTAAATCGTCACGTACGAATGATCTTTTTACATTATAACAACGTAGAGAATATGGATAACACAGAGAGAGATTTTTTTAGTTCGCATTAGACAAACATCGTAGAAAAACGTGTTTCTCTTATATTTCCTATCGGTTATCCAACAAAGAAAGAAAGAAAGAGAGAAAATGATCAATGTGAAAGATAAATCGAAATTTACTCAATATTCGTGAGTAAATTTCCTATAGGGTGAATCCCAAAAAAAAAAAGTTTCTAAATAGGGGGAAATGCTAATAAAATTAATCAGATTTGTTATTTTACCATTTAAACAAATACGAGGTGACACACACTTACGCGAACGGAATAATCATAATTTTTTCTCAAATCAAAATAATTTAATCTTAAAAATCATATTTTCTACACTTTTAAAGATCTCTGCGAGAACTTTTGCAAATTTTTTTTCTCACAAACTCGGTCGGTGTGTCAATTGTTTACTCGAGCAAATATTTTTCGCGATTTTGAATACCAATTGTCATACTAATTATTAATTATTTGTTAATTTTGTTCAAATTTTTGCTATCCCCTTATACTGAAGCCCTGATTTAGGATTCACCCACTATCAAAATTAAATGATCATATAAATCTATACCATATCTTTCGATCATCAATCATCAAAATATCGATTACCTCGTTGTTTCCTGTATCATTGACTATCTTTCTCATATTTGTTGGGGAAACAAAAAAAAGAAAGAAAAAGATTCAATAGATTAATTTTTAAAAAGAGAACACGTTTGAGGATGATAAAACGTTTAAAGTACACATAATCACGCAGTACCTTGCCATTATTCTTTTTCATAATTATTCGTCGAATCAAACTCTACATAAAAAAACATCGGTGCAAACAAAATCATTAAACGTTCCTTTATTTTTTTGTTTTTTTTTTTTACAGAATAAAGGACCCCCATCGTGTAGGGTGGGGTAAAAATTTTGCATTTTAAGCACCTTTAGTAAGAGAAATAATTTATTATTATAATTTTCGCGCTCCAAACGACATATATTATCGAATTACGATTATTATTATTATTATTATTATTTTTAATCTTTAATTAATTAATGTTAACGTTAAAACTAAATGGTTATCGTTATTATCGCTTGATCTGCTATTATCATCACTATTATTAGTACTCGCGAAGTATCGTCGTCAATTCCTCTCTCCCCCCTCCGTCCCTCATCCCTTCCTCCACCCCTTTTCCTTTTCTTTTTTCATATTTTTACCCTTTCCCTGCTTCCACAAATCCCTGCGTTTCAACACATTCAATTGTACATTATTTTGTGTTTGTTATTTAATTATCGTGATTGTTACGACCTTTTGTTAATTTATTATTTAAGATTTTAATAATAAAAAAAAAAAGAAAAAAGAATAAAAAAAAATATATATATATAGAGAGAAGGAAGATTAATCGACTATATTTACTCTTCCAATCTTTAATCGTCGTTAATTTCTTGTTAATATATTTTCAAAAGGAGTGTATTATTTAATGATAATTTATTTTATCAAAGATTATTCTATAAACGATTATTAATTCGTTATATTTATATATATATATGAAAAGAGAGACAATTTATATTTATCGAAAGTTCATAGAAAAATTTTCTTTATCTCGCACTTCGTTTTATGTACATATATACATCTTACAAGTACTCTCGAAAGTAAAGCAAACAATTTTATCGTAGATATAATTACATCTTATCTTGAAAAGTTTGTTCGCAATTTTTATCTAAAACTTATATTTGTCGTTAACAGAAAGTAACTAACATAAACCTATCCGTATAACCGTGAAATTTCTACGAGTAGAAGAGGTTGATATTTTCGTCAATAATTTCTTTGTTTTCATTGGATGATAAATTAAATGATAAATCATCTTTCCCCCTCCTCCTCTCCTCTCCCCCCCCCCTCACCCATGAATTTGCTAAAGTTCAATAAACGTTTCACAGAAAACGTGTTTAATTCATTTCGCGAGATATTTGCAAATCGTTCATTTAACAGATACAATATCATTATTTTTCAATAAAATATACTTATGTTCTTTTTCTCTTTCGTTGTTTTTTTTTTTTTTTTTTTTAAGTGAAATACCAAATAGCATCTGTGTTTAAACAAGTTTTTTTTGTTCATCATTGATTTCATTTCTGGTGTTAAAATTGAACCGTAAAATTCATACTTCAGATGTGTGCTCAATCAAATAAATATTATAACGATTATTTAAATGTTACTACTGAATGTGTATTTGTTAATCGTTGCCAATTATATATGTATATTTCACTTATTTTTCAATAATATTTTGTATTAATGAAGATTCGAAAAATATCTCGTAAATTATTAATTATATCAAATTCGTGTGTCAAAACGCTGATGTAATTATTCATATTTTGTATAATAATAAAAAAATATTATATATATATATATACGTTAATATTTTTGAATATTACGATATTTGTGAAACAAAATTCATATTTTATTCGTCAGTTTTCATAATAACGTAAATTTATCTATATTTTCACAAAATAATAACAGTGTTACGTATAAAAATAATATATACATTTATTATAATTATTATTATTACCTTATTACAAAGCTTATTATGTAAATAATTATTTATCTGTTCGATCAAACGTCTTAATTTCACAATTTCATCCAACAATTATTAATTATTATATTTATTATTAAAAATTAAATCTCGTATTATTATATTATAATATATTTTTTTACAATTAAAATATTATCTTTTATCAAATAATTTCCACATGCTGTGGGGCGTTTGAATGGAAATATTAAAAACAGTCTATATTGTGCTTAAAGTCTATTAATATTAACATGTTCAACGGGCATACTTTCGATACCATTAGAAACCATGGTAACGGTACCATCGGATTCTGAAACAATCATTTTTTTATTAAACATCTCTTCGATCTCGTTCAAAGATTTACCTTTGGTCTCGGGTAAGAAAAATAAAATGAATAGCGTTCCGAACAATGATACTACAGCATAGAAAAAGAAAACACCGTGTTTACCCATAAGTAATAACATATTCGGATAAGTTTTAATGGTAACCGAACTAAATATATAAGTTATGCATGTTGTTAATCCGGAAAGAATATCCTTCACTTTACTGGGATAAATTTCACCGACCATAGCAAATGGAATTGATAAGAAACCCAGTGTGCTTAAAAATATGTAAGTTACTACACAGATAACAGGTATTATACCGCCATCATTGATGACGTATCCTTTATCATTCATTAGCAAATAAATAGACAACAGACCCATGGATAGTGTCATGCCACTTCCAGAAACAATCGAAGGTACTCTTCTACCACACTTAGATGAAAATAATGCTATCACTATACTACCGGCAAATCTTGCCAGACCGATAAAAACTGCACCCAAATAAGGATCCAATTTGATTCCAGCACTTTGTACTATGTCAACCGCGTAATAAACCATCACGAATATTCCCGAAAATTGTTGGAACAAAAAGTAAATCAACATTATTGCAAACGGTATAAGCGCGTTTCTCCTAAACAAATGTTTCATAATGTTCTTTTTGTGTCGTTGTTGATTATTCGGTTTTAATTCTAATAAAATTTCCATCGTAGCAGGATCATCCTTTGGTATACCGCGAAATTTTTTTAACGTTTCCACTGCTTCCTCCAATCTACCGCGTTCTCGATACCACATAGGGGATTCTGGTAATACTATCACGATCAGTGCAATCGATAATATAGGAAATAATGCACACATAAGTGCTATCATTCGCCAATCTTCCTATACACACACAAAAATACAATAATGAATATTAATGAATATTTATTTATTTAAAATCAATGGGAAAATCGATCGTATCGTTTAAAATAAAACATACAGCATATATAAAT